CATCAGAATTACTGATGTTCTTTACATTTCTAGACCCTTATGGGAGCCGTAACATTGCCAAAGATTAAAAATTTATTGTTCTTTTCAAACCCACAGACGAAACGGTTTTAGCATTCTGCAGCAAGATAATAGAAGGCATGTTTTTTTTTCTAGATCAGCTTTTTGTTTGGATGCGCTTATATTACGCTGAAATTACTATCTGACTGCATGGTGTGGGATATTGCTAAAAGTCAAAACTAATTTGTTAAAATTAAAGTTTTAAATACATGTAGAAGTTTAACATGACACCTAACAAATACGAAGTGTGAAGATGATCAAAGCATTTAGACTTGTGCATAAAATGTTCTCTGATCTTAGAATGATTCTCTTATTGAACATTTCCTCTTTTTTAATGGAAAAACTAAAAAGCAAAAGAAACAATTGCAGAACCACTCAAGAAATTAAAGGAAAAGCAGGAATCCAAGAAGGAGGAAACAAAGGATGAGGAAGACAAAAAGAAAGCCAAAAAAGGAAAAGATGCTGCTGAGCGAAAGGAGAAGAAAGCTGTTGATACGAATAAATTAAAGAAAGAGTCTGAAAAGGTTAAAAAAGACAGAGGAAAGGGAAAGGAAAAAGTTCTAGAGAAAAATGTAAAACCCAAGGAAACAACAAAAAAAGCAGCTGGTGAAAAGGCTGGTACTGCTCAGGTGGGAAAAGAAAAAGAATCAAAAAAGATGGTTAAAAATCCATCTAAAATTGCTGAAAGCTCAGCAAAGGAAGACAAGAAAGAAAAGAAGTAAACAAAGTTCTGATTGTGCTAATTTGGAACAGACTCGAGAATGAGAGATACAGTGTATTTACCAGTGTGTGGTAAAAATGGCAATGAGAAATTAATGCTTTCTGGAAATAAATGTGAACGAAGGTGTTTTTTTTTTTGTAAACACAAAGCAAAAATGTCAGCTGTGAAACTCAAATGTGTACATATGTTAATATACCTGGCTATTAATGTATGTTGAATGTATTCAATTTATGCCAGTTTTCAAGCATATTCTAAACTGGATTTATTTTTCTTTCTTTGTATCCATTTATTAACATGTTGCTTTACTGGTTTGAGACAGAAACTGTTAATCAAATACAAGTCTAAAACAATATTAGGAGCATTATCGGGATAGAAACAGTATGAAAATCAAACTCCATTTATTATGTATAATTGCTACAGCTGTTTTTTAAATTGTCCTGTGACAATATATTCTGTTCGTTTGTTCTTTCTTTGCAGATTCTTTTAGATCTGAAAACTTGTTTCATTGTCATTTTTCAGGTGACCCAAGTTTTCCAAGGTTCTGATAATGAATACTTCAAAAATTAGCCCCTTATTTCAGTTTTGATGGGTACTGATGGATTTCTATTACATCTTAAGAGTAGGGATTTGTTGCTATTACTGTATTTTGGCTTAAATAGGGAACGGTTTGTATCTTCTGCAATTCTTATTTTCTTCCAGTAACTTTACAAGTACTCGATACTTCTGGAAGCCATCTCCTGTGTTAGTTTGCTGTTATAGCTTCTGTATTTTTATTGCCAAGAAATGATTTATCCAGCAGTCTGTTTTGAGTAAATGAAGTTAGAAAATGTTTCTTCAGACATACATTTCAGTATATTATTGAATCTGTACTTGCTTACAAGCTTATACTAGGAAAGGAATATTTCCTAATTTTACTAGATAAACAATGTTGCCTAGCATGCTGAAATAAGAATTCTTCAATAAAATTGCACAATTTAAACAGAACTTGTAAAGGAATTTGAAGGCTTATTATTATAATACTGCAGTATCCTTCTAAAGGAAAAAGAAAAAAAAAAAAAGCTAAGGAGTGAAGTTGAACATGGTTATATGGTGTGAAATGTTTGAACGTGTTGGTGTGGTGTAAAATTAAAGTCCTGGAGGCTGATTCCTATACTGTGTACTTGGTTCTACTTAAGTTTTCTGTGTCATTGTTGGCAATACAGTATGTCAAACAATTAATATAGCACATACATGTCTGTAAGACTTTTTATTCCTGTAACAGGGTAAGATACAGTCTGCTTGATTGATTTGATTGATTTTCAGACAAAACATTTTTGAAAAGGTGGGTGTGTTTGCAAAAAGACTGTAGGAAGATTTTATTGAATGCACTTGCATAATGAGTATTCTTTTTCATGTTTCAGTCAGGATAGAGATGTGTTTATTCATTCTTGCTTTATGAGGTTGTAAGAGATTTATTTGATAGTGGAATACACAAATGGCACTTCTCAAGGATAATGGCACGGTGGTAAATGCACATTACTTCTATTTTCCTCCCTAATGTGGCAGGAGGTATAACTGTGAATGAAATTTTAAAGTGAGTTGTGTTTAAGATTACTGTATCTTAACATCTATGCCCCCCAGTGTTTATCTCATCCTAAATAAGTTGCTTTTTCAAAGAACATTCTGTTTGAGCAGCACTTAAGGCTATACAGTAAAATGAGGGTTTTTTTCCATGGGTATGTTTTGCTGTTATATAGCACTACGAAATATTGTTGTCATTCAATATAATGTGTCAAGTTATAACATAAGATGAAAAAATTCCCCACAAGTTCAAGTTAAGTGCAACTTTGTTTTGATTAGAAAAACAGCGAATAGTGTGTTACAAAAAGTAAATGACAGTGTTATATACACAACAGGATTGAACAGGAATTGGTGATAGACACACACAACAGATATATGTGAAGCTTGAAAGCAAAGCTGAGAGATGTGCAAGCAAAAACAAAGAAATATTCTTCCTCATCATTTCTTTAATTTTGCCTATCCTAAATATGTTCTGACTGAAGTACTGAGCGTGTTTTAAAAATACTTTGCATATGCTTTATCATTGATGGAGCAGAATAAATGGTTGTATGGTGTTGGGCATGTGTGTTATTAGAAGCTATGGAGACTTACTTCAATAACTGTGTGTGTGTGTGTGTATTCCTATATATATATATATATATATATATAGGAAGCGAACTGCATTTGTGTAAGTAGGGTTGCAGCTTCGGCTCTTCCAACATCCTAAAGTCTGAAATGGTGGTGAATATAAATAACTGCTTTTTTTCTTCATATTTCATAATTAGTCACAATTATGGAAAGAATTAGCATCTTACTCTTGTAGCCATGAATGTAATGCCATAATACTCTAGTCTTTTATATGACATAGGAAAAAGTGAACTAACAGTGAAGTGTAAATTCTGGTCTTGACTTCATAGAGGTGGATTCTTAATTACAGTGCTTCTATATAAAACTTAGTTGCCTGATGTAATGCAGATTATATTTAACAAAAAAAAAGTAAAATTAAGTCTTCTTTTTTTTCCCAATTCCATTCTGTATATATGGGATAATGGAATAAGTACACATGCTTCTCATGGTGCAAAATAATGAAATCTCTCTAGAGTAGACAAAACTGTGTAGAGGCATGTAAGTCCTAGCTGAGATATGTTTGGCTCTGATAGAGACATGATAATATTTCTAAAGCCAAACTGACTTGAAATATACTACTTTTATTGCATCTAAAGTTACTTTTACTTCAGTGTTAGCAGTGAAGCAATGCTTCCTGTAGTGTGGTTTCTGCTTTATACAATTTGTATATACAGAACTCAGAGCTTTTTTTTTAATACAACTCTTTTGAAACTAATTCATTTAGGGAGGGGTGTGTGTTTGTGTCTACTTAAGAAAGTGGAGGTGTTCAAGGCTAGATTGTATGGGACCCTGGGCAGCCTGGTCTAGTATTAGGTATGGAGGTTGGTGGTCCTGCATGCGGCAGGGGTTGAAGCTTGATGATCCTTGGGGTCTCTTCCAACCCAACCTATGAACTCAGAACTCAAATGTAAATCTGCAAAAGATGTCATAGGATCATGGGAAAATTCAGTTTTGAAGGGTCCTTAGGAGGCCCTTATTCAAATATCCTGCTTGAAACAGGGTCAACTTGGAGTAAGACCAGCTTACTCTGAACGTTGCCCAGTGCTGTCTTGAAAAAATCAAAGGATGTGAATGCACCTTTCTGCATAGTCTGTTCTGCTGAGTTGACTGTCCTCATGGAGCGGGGAGGGGGGAGTTTATCCATGCATCCACATCTCTTATTTCAGTCTTGCTTGAATCTTTCCTGAGGAATGATGGAGAGGAGGATTAGGCTAATACCAATACATTCTTTCTTGTGGATGTGTTGTCTTAAGATGTGGCGTCATCTTTCCAACGTCACTGTACTTCGTGTAACTAGGACTGTAAGTTGTAACAAATGAACATCTCATTCTTGAGCAGGTGTTTGTCTGAGTAAGATATGGATTATCTTTCTTTCCATCTCTTACCTTTGTACTGATCATTGCTGTTATTCGTTGCTTTTTTTCCACGGTGTTTTGGTCTGGAAAGATTCAGTGGTATGGATAGTAAACCATGTTGTGGTGAAACATCATCAGTCATGCTTTCTGTGCAATTACTTAAGTGTCAGGAGAAATTAGAGTGACATTGCTATATTTTGAAGAAACTATAATTCTCCTCATCAGATCTTCAAAGTTATGAGAGCATATTCTCAGTATGAGCTTCATATCCTAAATTTCAAATCAGTTATTTATAAGATATAAAAGTGATCATATAAAGCACTTTTTTCCAAGGATTGTGAGGAAAATCCTGATGCCTGTTTCTCTTTTGGATACTAAATAAATCTTGACAATAAAGCAGTAATTTGTTTACTTATCCTGAATTAAAGGCAGATGCTTAAATTTCTGTCCATATTTTTCTCATTGTATGTCTATATTTAAAATGTGTGTTTGTTTATTATCTCAGTACACTTTGGTCTTTGTGTACACTAAATATCAGGACAGCCCTACTGTTACCATTGATAGTTAAAATGAATTTTCAAGTGATTAATGTCAGTTAATTTTAACTTTAGTTGCTGCTGATGTAGTTGAAACAACTTATAAGTCAATCAAACAATAATAATGAAAAAGCCTAAAGATAACTTTATAACTGAAAAATGCAGGCCTAAAAGAAAGATCTGTCCCAGAACAGCCAGCATCACCAGTATCTGAAGAGACCATTCAACCTTCGGAGCAGTCATTCATCAAATCAGGTAAGATTTTTCATAAACCACAGATGAAGCAAAAGCAAAAAAACCCCAGTGTTTCACTTGATTTAGTATTCTGTCTCTTTAGTATGCAAACTCACTGTGGTATTTCTTTGGGTAGAAAATCAAATCTATAATCACTTTTATGTGTTGTTTATACATTATAGCATTTAACTGGAGTGACTGTTAATAGCTTTTTTTAAATCAATAGCCACAAAGAGTTTATTGCTTACACAAATTATAGATGGTACTCTCCTCACTTCTCGTGGTTACTGTTAAAACCATATCACAGCAAAGTGACTTTCTGTTGGTGTATCGTTATGGTCTTTGTATGTATGCAACCATATTCACAGTCAGAATAACAGCAGATTCTCCAGCAAAAAATAAAAATTAGATATCAAAATTAGTAGAAATCATTTTCCTATTTGGGGAAGAGGAAAAAAGAAAAATATAAAAGTAGCAGTACAGCAGCTGTTCTTTCTAAATATGACTTTTATAGTAAGACTGTTTATAGTTTCTCAACAAATCTGATGGGAATGGAAAGGTCTATTGTTTAATTCTAGTAACTTCGTGTTTTATGTTGTTTTAAACTTAAATCAAAAATTGAATTGCTTGATAAGATTAATCAAACATTCACTCTCCTACTAAAACTAATAGTACATAAAAATTAGAGTAAGTAGAATTTTTAGTATTAGAAAAAAGCCACAAATATTTTAAAGCCTCTCAAATATTAATAAAATTTATTAGATTCAAGAGGAATTTAGGGGAAAAGTCCTTGGTATTGTAATATTATTGTTAATATTTATTTCCCCTACTTCTAAAACCAACAAAATGCCACTTGTGAAAATGATATTCTGCTGTCAAAAACTGTATGCTAGTACTGCTACCTAAATCATAGGAAAATAACAGATGAATTCATAGAAGCGAATTTATGGTTTTTATGGGTATCTCAAGTTATGACTGTTATTGCTGCTGAAAAAAAAAATATGCAGGAAATCTACTGTAGAATAATTCTTTCAATTCATTGATGTAATCAATGCAATATTTGCTGTTGGACAGTAAACAAAATCAGATTGTATCTACATGAGTTGCAGAGGTTTATCTTAATTTGTGGAAATTGATGGAGAGGAGTAAGAACTTTATGGAGGCTACTAAAAGCTGCAAACCTTGTTCTGGTGTTAATAATTGTATTTTGTACTTACCTTCACTGCAATTTATGATCCCCTTAGAGCACAAGAACGTTGATGTAGAATTGGAAGAGGAAATTCAGCCTGTTCTTCATGATGCTCTCCATTCCCAGCCTGGTAATGAATTAACATTTAGACATCACTGAAAAATTATAAATTGTGCTGCTTTTCTTTTTTTTTTTTTTTTTTTTGTATGCAGTCAAGGTAGTTTTACTTGCACAAGACATTCTAATCAATTAGTTTGTGATTTTCCAAGAATATCTTGAAAATTCATTCAACAAATCCTGAAATGGTAACTTCTTAATTCAGAGAATTCACAGAAACACTCTGTACAGTGCAAGAATGGGTAAACAGGAATTGTTTTTATTCATGAACAATGAAGGCACTGATCAATCAGTGCCGACGCTTTGGATTTACACCACTGTAAGAGGCAGTCAAGTGTTGTGTCCTCTGTTGTGGAGTAGTAGAAAAACATGATAGTTGTGTTGAAAGCTGAATTTTTTTGATTGTAGTAGAGTATGCCAGTGAGTATGTGTTATCTAAAAAATTATATTCTTGATTAGGAGAGGGACATGAAGATGTAGATGAAAGCGTAACTGACCAGTGGCAAGAGAAGGAAGAAATACATACAGAAATGTTTGAAGCACCTGCAGCAGATGACATGCTTAGAGAATTAGAGAATGAAGTGACAGAGGATTATGAGATACCAGACTCATTTCAGAAAGGTATTTGAATGACTAAGTATATTTAAAAATTAAATGTCCACAAAAATACAAGCAGACAAATTTAAATAAGAGTCAAGTGTCTTTAATTTAATGAGTAATAATTTCTACTTGCTATAGAGTCTTGGAAAATATTGGGATGCTTTAAAGATGTTCTGGAATCCAGGTAGCTATAAATTATAGTAATCTTACAGCTGTGTTGGCTTTCAGACAACAAAATTTATCTGTGTTCCAACTACACATTTCACCCCAAATAGAAGTGCTCATACAATATCTGAAGTGATATTATCAGTGAAGAATATCTGAAGATTCTATACTCAAGAAGCTTTTTTCTATACTAAATTTTAGGCATTTCTTATAGGTGTTCTCAATATACTTCCCTTGTAATGTGATGCTTTAAGAAAATGTTGTATGTGAGCAATATTCCAAATCTTGCCAAGAACATGGTATCATATAAAGAGGATATTCATACACCGCTGCCTTGAGATATCAACACGATGTTACAAACTATAATATTACAGCAGAATCATATGGTTTAATTGAGACTTAGGGAAAAGTACATCCTAATGCTTTTGTCTGAAGTACTGACAATTGTGCATGTATTTTAAGACCTCTTTTTGAAAAACTCATGTAATGATTGCCGTCTACATGTTCTGATTGCTGAAAGTATGCTGAGATTCTTTCATCACAGCTGAAGTAATTCCTTTCAGTCTTTTAGTCCTCCTTGTTTTTTTCTTCTGTTCTTTATGGTGTAAGCTACGGTAGGGAAATAAAATGAATATTCAAATTCCAGTTATTTTAAATCTTGGAAATGATTATTAAGAAGGCAATGTAAATATGTTCTTTTGTTCTTTATGTTGAATCTTTCGTGGAGTCTGATTTTTCCAACAGCAGACTTGAATTTGGGAGATGAAAATTTCTGTAGAGACAGCCATCTTTTCCAGAGCAAATGTGTTTAGTGTATGTGTATTCTCAGTATAACGTACATGATTATAATTTCAATCTATTTGATTATCTTTCTGGCAATAGAATAAATCTACTTACTATTTCTGCTTAGAAATGTTACTATTCATGCATAATATTCCGTTAAAGTGTTTCAACAAAAACTGGAATTTTTAAATATGTCTATTTCTTAGATGCTGATTTTGTAGCAGATGATCCTGGAGCAACAGAACCTGAGACATATGAAGTTCCAGGTATAATTTTATGTTTCCAAAGTCAGTAACATTAGCTTTTTGTTAGAAATGTTAAGAGAAAGCAAAATACAAAATGCTAAATTGATTTAATAACATAATTTTGTAAATGCTTATTCTCCAAACTACTGTTCTTGACTTGTCTTATATATTTTTATTTTCACTGAAATGACTGTATCATATCTGCTATGATAAATGGTTCTTAATAGATATAGTATAAAATAAATAAATAACAAATAATACATAAAATAGTACTTTATGTATTACTGTCTTGCAACATTCTACATTGCTGAGGTTCTTCTGGCCTATTATTTTTGTCTTTAGTCAGGAACTTGTGCTCTCACGTGTTTCAGAAGTATTCAGTTCATAACCTTCCATTCAGAACTACTTGAAGTGTTGCAATCAATTATACTGTCAGAGCCAGCATCCTCCACAAGCTTGATATGGAACTATCTTTGCACTGTCATTCTGTACACCCTAATTTATCTTTAAAGCATTCTTAAATTTTACGTATACTAATCCAGTTAGCTTCTAGTCTTCATCACACTGTGTTTAATCAGGTCTGCATCTTTCTTATGCTGAGGGCCTCAGGCCTGGATACAGTACTCTAGATTGGGCCTCACAAGCAGGCAATCACCTGACTCTGCTGGGTGCCACTCTTGATGCAGCCCAGGGTACATTTGGCCTTGTGGACTGCAAGCATACACTGCTGTCTCTTTTCCAGCTTTTCATCCTCCCAGAGAACCCACAGATCCTCCTGTACAGGGTTGCTCTCAGTTTCTTCTCCCAGTCTATACATATGTTTGGGATTGCTCTGACCCACGAGTAACATCTAGCACTTTGCCTTGTTGAACCTCATTAGGTTCTTGTGGGTCCACTTCTCAAACTTGTTCAGGTCTGTTTTATGACATCTCTTCCTTCTGTTGTATCAACTGCACTACTCGGTGTCATCTGCAAACTTGATGAGGCTGCTCTTGATCCCACAGTCTGTGTCATTCATAAAGATGTTAAAGAGCACCAATTCTAAGACAGACCCCTGGGGGGGCACCACATGCCTCCAGCCTCTATCTAGAGAGACAGTTAACCAGTACTTTGGCTGTAACTGTCCAGTAAAGTCTTTATCCACCAAATAGTCTAGCCTTCAAATCCATATCTCTCCAGTTTAGAGATAAGGGTGTGGTGTGGGTAATCTTACCTGTTAGTCCATCTAGTGAGATCCATCAGCCGGATATTGAAATTTCCGTGCTGAGAAGAGTTTTCCTCTGAATGCTAATAATGCCTCTATATAGCATAAGCATTCTATTCCATTTAAATCAAGTTTCAGTGAATTTCAGTTTAAACTAGGTTTATTTTCTTTGTCCCAATGCTAGTTCTGCATTTTACATTTCTTTTTTATACTAAATATGATAGCAACAAAATGTTTTGCCTGTTAAAGCAGAAGGATCCAGCTCTTTCCATTAGATTGTTATTTGTCTAGTGTCAAACATCAATTTGTAAGATTTTGATTTAGTAGTTTTCTACTAGATAGATAAATGGAGCTATTGAAAGATGTATTATTGATGCAAGTTAAAACAGTGTGTATTGAAAATATATATTTTTTCGTATTTAATTTTCAGTTTCTTATGAATATGATATGGATTTGGAAAACACAGTAAGTGATCCAGAAGCTCCAGGTTTGTATATTTTTATAAATTCAGACTGTAATATAATCACTTCTTTAAGCAGGCTTTGAAGTAATGCGTCGTTTACTGTTATGTCACAGTTTTATTTTTCAAGTAGTATCAAATAAAATTGTTTTTTGCAGCTATGTTACCATTACAGTTGTATACAAAGCATTCAATTAATCCAATCCACAAACACCTGCTTAAGTGTTTGCTAGAGTAAATAATCAATAGATTATTATGCCAGGCTACGCTAGGGAAGATGTGAGTCTGTCCAGAAGGAAACTGGAGATCCTGGTCACAAGGAGAAAGCTGAGGTGTTCAATGACTTCTTTGCCTCAGTCTTCACTGGCAAGAGCTTTAGCTGCACCGCCCAAGCTGCAGAAAGCAAAGAACTGGGTCCCAGAGAGAAGATAAGATTTGAGACAATCTAAAGAACCTGAAGGTTCACAAGTCTGTGGGACCTGACAAGATCCATCCACAGGTTCTGAGGGAACTGGTGGATTGAAGTTGCCAAGCTGCTATCAATCATATTGATGGCAGACTGGTGAAGTTCCACTGACAGGAAAAGGCAAATGTTAACTCCCATTTTCAAGAAGGGTGAAAAAGAAAATACAGGGAAGTACAGGCCTATCATTCTTACTTCTGTGCCTGGTAAGGTCGTGGAGCAGATCTTCCTGAAGGCCGTATTAAAGCACATGGAAAATAAAGATGAGGTAATTGGTGGTAAATAATGTGGCTTCAACAAGAGCAACTTATTCCTGACAAACTTGTTGGCCTTTTATGGTGTTGCAGCAAGAGTGGATAAAGGAAGAGCAACTGACATCTACCTGGATTTCTGCAAAGTGTTTGACACTGTCTTTCACAACATCCTGTCACAAGATTAGAGAACAATGGATTTGATGGATGGATTACTCCCTTAAAAAGGAATTGACTGGATGCTTGCACACAGAGTTGTGGTCAGTGGCCGAATGTCCAAGTGGAGACTGCTGACGAGTGGCATTCCTCATGGATCATTACTAGGACAGGTGCTATTTAACATCTTTGTAGGTGACATGGACAGTGGGATCAAGTGCACCCTCAGCAAGTTTCCAGGTGACACCAGGCTGAGTGGTGCAGTGCTTAGAGGGAAGGGATGCTATCTAGAGGGAGCTGAACAGGCTTGAGGTGGGCCCATGAACATCCAACATTGGCTTCATGAACTTCCAGCAAGACTGATTGCAAGGTCCTGCACCTGGGCTGGGGCAATCTCAAGCAGAGATACAGGATGGGCCCCTGCGGAGAAGGATTTGGGAGTGTTGGCTGATGAAAGACTCAACATGAGCAGACTGTGTGCTTGCAGCCCAGAAGGCCAACCATATCATGGATTGCATCAAGGGAAGTGTGACCGACAGGTCAAGGGAGGTGATTCTGTCCCTCTACTCTGTTCTCTTGAGACCCCACCTGGAGTACTGCATTCAGTTCAAAGGCTTTCAACACAAGAAGGACATGAAGCTGTTGGAGCAGGTCTAGAGGAGTGCTATGAAGATGATCAGAGGGCTGGAGCACCTCCCCTATGAGGGCACTCAGAGAGTTGGGGCTTTTCAGCCTGAAGAAGGCTCAGAGGAGACCTTATAGCATCCTTCCAGTACTAAAAGGAGGCCTAGAAGAAAGCCTGGGAGGGACTTTTTATAAGGACAGGTAGTGACAAGACAAGGAATAATGGTTTTAAACTGGAAGAGGGTAGATTTAGACTAGATATTAGGAAGAAATTCTTTACTGTGAGAGTGGTGAGACACTGGAACAAGTTGCCCAGAGAGGTTGTGGATGCCCCCTCTCTGGAAGCATTCAAGGCCAGGCTGAATGGGGCTTTGGGCAATCTGTTCTAATGGGAGGTGTCCCTGCCTATAGCAGGGGGTCGGAACTAGGTGATCTTAAAGGTCCCTTTCAACCCAAACCATTCTGTGATTATCAACAACCTACATGCATTGCTAATAATAATACAAATATGTCTAAATTTACTATGTTGTGGTGTAGCTGCTGGATGTGTTTTATCATCTAGCTGTAAATATCAAATAAATATTGTGATGTTTATTCTTACGTGTGTATTTCTGTTATTTTTCAGCCTAATAATATATGACTTGTGCTATTTAGCTGTTGCATGAAAACTTAACGGAAACATAAAATATTGAATATTGAATATTTTTATTTAAGGTGATGCTGAACTAACATTAGAAGATGCTGTTGAACATCACACAGGTACAATCCAAAATCATACTCTTTTCAGTGAATTTTATCCTCAAATTATCCTCAAAAAAAGCTGTCCCCTTTCCTTCCCTCCCAGATTGGAGCTGGTATATAGCATCAGTTTATTAGTGTGATCTAAAAAATACAAATGGATGTCTGGGAAAATGAACAGTACTGTGAGGGTTAAATATTTAGGGTATTTATTTTTTTAAATTGCATGGGAATATTTCTGTAGATTAAAAAAAAAAAAATGATATTTTGAATTTGCTAAAGACTTTTGGAGGTGGTATATCTAACTGTTGGGGAAAAAAGTGATATCTTTCTTAAAAAGTAAAAATAAATCCACAGTATATTGTAAAGTTTTACTGTATATAAGAATGACTGATGGTTATTTCCTTTACGATTTATAGGTCATTTATAGTTGATTTCATGACTTGTACAAGAAAATCCTAATTATATGATGAATCGTTTTGAAGTCTTACCTAGTAATGCCAGGAAGTTCCTTATTTTTTCCCATAAGAACTGTAAAGTCTTCAGTTGCAGAGAACTTTTTGTATTATGAACTGTAGCACAGTATAAAATAGTATATATTTGATCTTTTTTTTTCCTGAATGAACTTGATTCTGCACTGTTTATTTTCTTCAAAATTCATTGGATTTTAATATTGACTTCTTTTCCCTTCTTTGAACAGAGGACAGTGTGCATGGTGTTTATAATGAACATGGTATGACAACTGTTATATTTAACTTCTATACGTTGAATCATAAAGCTTAGTTTACTTTTGAATTATTATAATAGTCTTTCTGTGATAGAAAATGAAATTGTTCTGTCCTAATTTTTTTCCTGTTGTCATATTCATTTTGTAAGTTCTTTGATAAGGTATTTTTGATCTCTGAAACTCCATGTGACCAGTCAGTCGGTCTGTAACAGTGGAACAAATGTAGAGTATACATATTAGTTAAGTTCCCTAACTGATCTCTTTTGTGCCTGTGTGGCATAAAATATTGAGAACATCTCATGCCAGCCCTCCTCTCCCCTTTTTTCTTAAATAAAACCATGGTAAGTCAGCAGTAGTTCATTGTATCTGTGTAGGTCAGTATTACCATATTGTACTCTTTTCTTTTGTACTAACAGCTCAGTGGAGATTTACTCCAATTTAGTTTGATTTCGTTAATGATTTGCTAATGATTGCTAGGAGGGTTAGTGCCTGCTAAGATAATGAAATTATTCAGTGTGCTAGATGCATGTTGAAGTTATTAATTTTTAAAATACACTATCATGTATCGAAGACTTAAAATAAATGGTCAGCATTTTACCATTTTAAGACATTATTTGAAGTAAAATAATGTCTTTTAACCTGTTTTTTGTTCAGAGTTATGAAAACTATACTAGCTTTTTGTTTAAAGTATAGGAGTGTAGGTGAATTATTACAGTTGTACAGAATGATGCCTTTATTGTTGTCATTGTTTTAAACATTTCATCTCTGTGTGTAGTAATGCAGGAATTTCAGCATTATGTTCACATTTGGTATTTGTTTTATATGTAGAATTCCGCACAGTAGGTTCCATTAAGAATTCATTTATCTATGCAGGCCTCAAGAGTAGAGAGAGGTTTTGAGAGCTTTGTAATAAAGAAATGAATTAGATGCCTAACAGCTAAATTATTTTTACTTTAGTCAGAATCAACAACATATTTTTCTTTCCCTTCAAGAACCAGAACACGAGAAAGAGACTGAGACTCAAGATACAGGTATAGTCTATTGGTGTATGTATGTCTGTGTGTATGCATGTGTATATTTACAAATGGCATATATTTAAAAAACAAAAATAAAAATCTTTGTATGTAGTTAAACTGCCCACAAACGTAAGAAGAGAAATACAAGTAGACAGTGACAAGTGTTAGCCATTTAGCTTGTTGATAATGCTATACTTCATTACTAAAACCGGTTGGTATGAGTAATCTTTGTATGGGTAAAGACACTTACAAAAAGATCCTTTTTAACTCATAAATATGTTTCTAAATTTCTAAAGTTCTTACTTTGTTCTTGTTTCTTGTCCTGCTCATCAGTTCCTTCAGGGTCTTTTAATTGAAAAGGCTGTGGGTTTGTTTTTCACACATCCATCAGATGTGGTTAATGATGCAAAAAATGAAACTGAAAGACATGCTCAGAAAGACTGTTTTTTTAATGTCTTCTTTTAAAGTTAGTATGTCTTAATTGTTTAGAAGGTAGGTTTTAAGTATTCACCTAATAAATACAGTAGTTGTATAGAAAAACAGGAAAGAAAATTTAAGGGATTTCTTTGTTTCCTCAAAATTGATAAAAGTTTTGAAATTTTATGTTCACAGTTGAAAAGAGCTTGTACCCAGAGATGTTCTTTTGTGTTATATGTAAGTTTCTTCAGTTTAGAGCTTGGCTTCATTGTTGCTCTGAATTAAATGTTTTTTAGCTGTTGAAGACCTTCCTGAGGAAGTACATGAAGACACAGAACCAGGTATATATATTGTTATTGTGGTCTTAAAGTATTCTCGCTATTCACTTGTTGTTTTTTGGTGGTTTGTTTGTTTGTTTTTGGTGGGTTTTTTTGAGAAAGAGAGGAGAGCTAACTATGTACTTCTATCTTTTTATAGTTAGAGATGAAATTGTTGAAGATTTAGAAATGGAGGAAAAACTACCAGGTATGAAATTTTTATATATTAAGAAATCAAGCATTTTCATTCCATTTATATCTCTTAATATGTTTCTTAAAGACAAGAAAATGTTCTCTATAAAGTGCTTAATGTCAAAAGCATCATTAAATATGATGGTTTTTCAAACATGACCTTAATTCAGTCAGCTAGAGGAAAGTGATTGTCTTTAGTCTTAGCATAGCTAGGGATTTGCTGCTATAGTTTATTCAAGTTTTTTATTCAAGTTTTCCATTTCATAAATGTTGTAATGACAATCATAATTGAAATCCCTTTTTGGGAGGAGGGGGCAGAATGATAGGAGACATTGACTAGGAGAGTTTAAACTTATTTTATGTGAAATGTGTTTGGGTGCTTTTGTGCTACTGATATTTTAATTTGTTTGTCCTTCAGTTTAACTTGTACTTGTTTGATACTAATGGGACTGGGTGGTTGGTGAGGAACAGAAGCAAAATTTTAAGCGTTTTCTGTAACTTTCATATTTAAATTTATTTATAACAGTAGAAAGTAAGCAAAGAGAAGATAATGTGGCCACTGGACCAGAGGAATCAGGTTTGTATATTATGTTTCACATGCTACTTGATAAAAATTAGATAAATACCATAGAATAGAATTCTACTGTAAAAATATATTCATAATTTCTCTTGCTGCAGAACTACTTTTCCTTTAAAGATGAGTGTAACTGTGTTATTAGAAGCTAACATGTTCCTTTTTTTATTTTACTTCGCTTTCTAACGTTAGTATTTTAAACACTTAGTTAGGAAATCTCAGTTTTAGAAGTCCAGAGTGCTCTAGCTCAGAATGACTTATAACAATAAAAATGATCATAGTTGGTGATAGGAATTTGAAGATTTTCTTGCTATGCTCTGTCTGCCACCTGGCAATCAGTAGTGCATACTCTGGAAAAAGAGCATAAATGTAAGAAGAAAAGGAGAATATTACCCCAGCTTTGAGTGGCACCACTACAGAATTCGTGAGTCAGAGCATATATTTCCCTCTTTTCAGTTTCTTGTATTGCCTATAGTCAGTATTATAACTATTACAAATTCTTTTTTGGTAAATTTGACTCCCTCTATGCATGAATAGGGAGCTATGTGTAACCTTGAGCCTATTAGCAATAGCAGCAATTGGTGACATGTCTAATTTAAACTTACATCCTGAATTAAAAACAACTGAATTTGTGAGTAAAATCCATACTCAAATAGCATATTAAACTGGGAGATTTGTGCTTCTGATAGTACAATTTCAGAATTTTGTTTTTAAATTTGATTTTAATTTTTTTCCTAGAAAAACTTAAAGCTGAAGAAAATTTGTATCCCACTTCAGAAAAAGTATTATTACAGAGCAGTCTTAATAAGCCACTGTTTTGAGCATAAGAGGAAAACTTTTCTGTAATCAGTTTAGACTTTCTGTAAACATTTAGAGAACTATCCAGTTTCAGTTTGCACACTTTTTGTTTACAGAAGTCCCTGTTCAAGCTGAGGATTATTCAAACGATAATCTAGTGGGTAAGTGTTTAAATGTTTTCCTTATATTTTTTTTCCACAAAAATATATATATATATATCTGCATGGTAAGTTTTGCAAATAATTTTTGGAAAGTACTGCAGGGTAATCATTACTCTCATTTTAAGCTTTTCGTGGTTATGAAGCAATAATTTTTATCTTGTACTGGATAAATGTGAGTGGTGGCAAATTGAGCTATACAGAAGTATTTCAAGTAAAACTCTGAGTAGTTTTAAAACAAAACTTATTTTAAGTGATTTCAGAGCTGTATACTTTTGCTGTAAAGGTAAAAATAAAAATATCAGACTTCAAAATATGTACTTACTTTCTTTCCAGAGTAGCTTGTCATGGGTGATGGTATTACTTCTCTGTATGTCAGATCTATTGGAGTTTGGCAATGGCTCTTTCTTCAGGCACTGGTCTGTGAACGAAGCTGGCTTTGTCATACTTTCACATTTTTCTTGACATAACCAGTTTTATGAACAAAATGAGCACTTCCAGCTCTTTCATCAGGACAATAGTAATTACCAAAACCATTTTTAGAGTTAACTACCTTGGGAACCTATCTGACAGCGGAGAGTTGCTTCATTGGAAGCTTGTGTGTTACATTTGGTCCACTTTTCTGAGTTAACAGAGTCACAGTATTAAGTATCACAAGTCAGTAGTTGGTTCTTTTGTAACTGTGGCAGTGTTGAGGGCAGCACTGCGCTGTGTCTCTCAGTGAGAAACCACAGGGATCATAATCCAGGAGTCCCGAGAGCTGTTTTAGTTCTAGTTAGCCTCAGACCACATGTGGGTGGTGAGACACTGGAACAGGTTAGCCAGAGAGGTTGTGGATGCCCCTCCCTGGAAGCATTCAAGGCCAGGCTGGATGAGGCTTTGGGCAATCTGGTCTAGAGGGAGGTGTCCCTGCCTGTAACAGGAGGTTGGAACTAGATGATCTTAAAGGTCCCTTCCAACCCAAACCATTCTGTAACTATGATATGGTTGTTGGGCAAAGGAGTTTTTGACTACCTTTGTGCATTGGTTAATCTTTGCAGTATGCAGGAGCTCTGAAGTGGTGTGATATGATTCTGTGAGACTTCTCTTTCCTAGCAGGGAAGGAAACTTGTATTCGATACTTAGACATGCCAAAAGTACCTAGATAACTGAAAGTGCAGGAGGTCTTTGTGTTCTCGTAGTACTGATCGGAAGCATGAGTTCATGTTTTAATTTACATGCTGAACATTGGCTGAGGTGGTCTGAAATGCTTGTTGTAATACATGTCACTGATTTGTCTTTCTAACCTGTTTATCATAATTGCTACTCGTTATGTTGAAGTGTTTAAAGCCTTAAGTGTTCACTGATAGATAGCTAATAATAAATATTTATTTTCGTAATGAATGTCAAATATTTTAAACAAGGCTTGTGAACAGTGTTAAGTACAAGTAATAGTTGTCTTTGACAGGATTGGCAATAAGGTCAGTGAATGTTCCATTAGTTTGCTGTGGGACTGCAGAACAAGAAAAGATGCATCTGTTTTCCTGCAGAAAATGTGGCTGCCTACAGTTAAAATAATAAGTAGGTCTCTATGAGACTACTGGAAACTTTTAACAGTAGAAACTTCTACTGCATAGTGTCAGTTATGTTGATATGAGGATATGTAGATGAATTTGTCTTGTATACGCTATTTCAAAACCAAGTTCAAATTCATTATCAGCTTGAAATCTTTGAATTTTGTTTCTATGGGCCATATTTTTGTCAAAATCAAAACCTATTTATTCAGTTACTAAATAAGACTAACTGTTATATGCAGTATCATGCTCCTGAGTCTTCCCTTATGAAGTAGAAAATGAAAATAATCTGTAGCACAAAATTTACTACAGCATGCTAACATACACAAATTACTTACAATCTTTCAGTAGTTGTTTGGTAGCCACTTCAGAGGCAGAAGAATCATCAACCAATTGATGTATTTTGTAAAAAGCTTGTCAATACAGTGCAGAAGTCAATTTATATAACATCTCTGAAAATTGAGAAAAACAGGGTACACAATTTAAATAATTTACAATTACTGAATTTTCCTGCTACTAAAGGTTTCAGATGTGAAAGCTTGCAGGAAGACATTATTCTCACAACCTTTTCCTCTTACATGATGAAATTCACATGTAGTAGGGAGTCAAAAAAATATTTTCTTTTTGGACAGAGGTTTCACTATGAATATTTTGTTGTCAGAATTCTTTTCTACTTTGGCAGCTTTTGATATAAATAATTTAGGATTTTTGTTTAATTGTTTTCATTTGTATGTAAATTACAGTGATTGTGTTAGAATGGTATTTGGGATATATTTGGGATTTAATGGGATATGTTTGAAGGGAAGCATTTTCCATTTTGAGGGGATACTATTACTCTTTGTATTTGAGTTTTTATCCCTCACATATGTAGTTCAGATTTCAAAATATGTAAGGTTTTTTCTCCCTTTCAATTGTATACTTTTCATTTACTTTTACCAGCTACTGAAATCCCTTGTGTTCAGAAGTTTCCATTTCAAAACATTGACCCTTCCTCATTCCTTGGCTCCTTTTTCCACAGGACCTGTCCTAAATGATAGCCAAAATAAATAAATAAATACATAAATGTGACATGGCCCAGATTTTCCTTTACGAGGTTAATGGAGTGCCATATGATCAGAAAAAAATGTACTGCTCAGATAAATATTTGAAAGTGTACATTTCCCACCTTTGACAGCAACTTTGTGCATATTCATTATGGTAACACCTAGAAATGATAGCTTTCTTAAAGTCTCAAACAAAGTTGCTTTTTTTTTTTTTTTAAAGATTTATTTGAATTTTTTGTTTTATAGTAAGCTGTGTTTTGGTTGGTCCTTTAATATAGATTTCCCCTTATTTTTTCAGATACTTAAAGCTTCAAAAGAAAAGTCCCTACATCAGGAGGACCAGCCCTAACCATACGCTACAAAGGGGAGCAGATGGTTGTCATAGATCTTACGATGTAATTACAGAGCAGTTCAGGGTTTGGGAGCAAACACTAAGATACTGTAAATGGGTTGTAGCCAACTGTCATCTTAGTAAGCTTTTTGTTAGTTTTTTTTTTTTAACACTCGGTTGTTTAATTTACATTCCTGTATTTTT